ATTTCGATAGAAATCACCTTTCTAAATAAACATCAGTTGAGTTAGTTTCACTGTGTAACACTCTTCTACAATACAATATAAGCAGAGAATACTGGTTGAAGAAGAGGAGAAATACTGTAATGGACAGGTGCCTTCTACTGTTCAGTGGAACATCAGGTGTTGTTTTATGTTTTTTTAATGTAAGATTATGAAGTACTGCGCATCACCACTGTTTTTGATTTTATTCTGAGATGCAATACACTGCAGTACTACGCTACACTAAAATCTTGTTACTTTATTAAGAGTAAAGTGTTTCCCTATAAACGAAACTTTATATACTATTAATAATATTAAAAACTTGTTCGCACGCCGTTGTTTTAAGCAAACCCTTAGAATCGCTGGCTACTGGACCGCCTCCTTAACATTATTTGCTTGTGGACAGGTAAAAGTTTTAAACAGGCCACAGCTCCACAGCAGATGGTCCCTGCAGTTTTCGAGATATTACTAAAGTACTCCCTAGCTTTTCACCATTGACTTTCTGCGCCCAATACTCCCTTCCTCATGTACTGTAGTGTAGATTGCGGCACAGCCCGCAGTAGCACGTTTTTTTTTGTTTTATTCAGAAAATAATGCCCCGCAGTACTGCATATAATAATTTTCATCTATTTTGACGTACTTTAAGATACTGCACTCTACAGTATTATAAATCCTTAGTGATCATTGTAGTGTATCGTATTATAATAACCATTAGAGTTGCGTCTGACTTGTAATGCTCTGCAGCGCAGCGACCATACTGACGCAGTAACTATAGTTTTGAACAAGACTGTAGTCTAAGGATTGTCGAATCTTATGTTTGATACAGCAGTTATTGGAAACAGAGTGTTAAATGCAAATTTTCGCATCCATGTATCGACTTACAGCATTGATTGTCATCGGAATATTCACAGAATGGCACTCGCGCATAAAGGGTTAGATTGTAGTTCAGTTAAAAGTTATGTACAGTTCATTAGTATTAGTTGAACTAAGTATGTCCGATCAGGGAGACTTTAAATCACAAGCACGATGTAAATTTTTTTATCAGCTTCTAATTCCCTTGAGTAAGGAATCCCACCTTCCTGAGAGATTGGAGCAAGTCTTTATCCCCGAATAATAGGACAGCATGGTTGTCTTTTATCTTTTTCCCACTGGCCAGTTGAAATATAAGTCACCACAAGGTGTCGTAAATCCAAATTTAACAAAGTTGCACATTAGCCGTTTATTAGTCTCGCATTTTGCATGACCAGGAATCTTTAACCGGACAACACCCCCGCCCAAAAAAAATATTTGTGAGAATTGATTCTTGAGCAGGGTCTGGACTATGAGAATGATTGTTTATCCTCTTCCTCTTTTCTTTTATTCGATTTTGCAAATTCCATTGAGTTACAATGCTTTTGAGAAACCAGACTAGAATTCAACAAAATCCCTTTTGATGATGAGTTGGAGAACTGTATTTTTCAAACGGTTTTTGTCCAAGAAGGGTTATTGTGGTAAAACTGCTGAAACTAAATGCTGGAGTCTGTTTAAGCTTTACAGTATTCTTAGTTTGATATTATATGTTCTTGTTTTATTACAGGTCTTCTGTGGCTCAACCGTCAGAACTTCCCCCTTCGCCCCACGCCTGGTACTAGGGACACGTGTCGGAACGCAGTGTCGCCGTTGTGAACATCAAAGACACTCCGCTGTAGGACGAAGCGTGTAACGAGCCGGCATTTGAATGGTTGTACGGCCCGTGATCCTGATCCACACGACGTGATCAGGACTGGGGACGGGGCAGTAAGTTCGAGTGACAGAAATCGACGGTGGGACTAGAGACTTTTAATTATCCTGGCACCCCAGCGTTGCTGCTCGATCATTTTGTATAAATGGTTACATTTGTGTCTGTGTAACAGCGGCCGTAGATAAATGACCGAGGTTCACCGACCGACCGTCCGTCAGGTCGATGACCACGACGTCGTCGATACTGCTGACTGACTGATGGAAACCTAAACCTGACTAAATCATATCATACTACTTCTGAAATTTTGTTCGGCTCATTTTCGTTCATATTCGATTTTCACGTTGTTCGCTGTTGCGATTTCCGATGTACAACTGTCTGCCTGCGCATAATATGTTTTCATTACAAACCGTCGACATCCAGCACTACACTGCCATTAGTGTTTTGAAATAATGATAGGCAATGATTACTGATTATTGCATGGAGCAAAATTGTGAATATGAATTGCGCTCTTGCGCCCCACGTTGAAGGTATATTTATTAATGCCGTATTTTAAATTACATGTAGGTTAAAAATATTGCGTTGTTTCAACGAAACTGTTTTTTATGTTTTACATGCACTGTAGGTTTTATCCGCTGTTTGTCTTATAGCGTTTTATCAATGACGATGTTACTGTCTGTTTTTTGTGAAGCGCGCTGTTGACGTTTAACCTTGAAGACATTTTATGAGGTTAAAGGCCTGACAGTTCGTTGCAGTTGTTCCTGATCCCTATGGCGGTGGGTCGTCATCGACGCGACGGCGGATGGAATATGTTTTGGCGCGTATCGACGTCTGTTGAGAATTCTTTCGTATTCTAGCCACTCTGTTGTGTTCAACGAATTGCGTTTTTCGTCCAATTTAAAAAAAAGGTTGAATCTGCGGCGGCAATGAGCGTCTATTTTGCACTAGATGATTGCCTGCCCCAGTATTTTTTGTTTAGATGTTGATTCTTGTAAATTATTTGATGTAGACACGTTGGCGTTCCTCTTCAATTTTAAACACATATGGTGCATTTGAAACGAATGATGCCTTCTTTTGGTAACTAGATTTATTATATTTATTTATAACCGAAATTTCAAAAATAAATTTTCCACGCGATCGATGAATTCGTTTATGTTATGCAGCAAGGTGCAACCCACAGTCATATTTGTACATGCGATAAGTATTCGAACTTCAGAAAACTCGTTGGTTGTAGTCGCATCTTTTGCTTCTGTCGACATGGAGAATGCTTTAAGGAGGCT